TCTACACTTGCCCTTGTTAAATTGCATTTGTGGAAGTTCAGTTAATGTTTAATTCTCCTGATATTTTGTGGCACTTCTGGGCTTTTTTTCCAACCTGCCTTTGGCTTGCTTTCTTCAATATACAATCAGTGACGCAATGGTGTTAGACTATGGCTGTGTACAGTTTAAGTCACGTCAGTTCTTTCTGGAGGTGGTTGCTTACAAGAAGTGCCAGTACCTTTAGACTTCTAATTTATCACAGTCAACCAGTTACTGGTTATCTTGGTTTTAGTCAAAGATGTGTAAAACACAAGAATACAGTCCTGTCCTTTCTCCAAAGTGTATCAGTATTGTAAATTAGTATGAATTTTGGTTTTCTGGGGTTGTTCAGACTCCAATAAAATTCAGATTTTGCTCCCTTCCTAAAGATCACTCAACTGCCTGCTTGTATTCTTTCATTTTACTTCCTTGCATTGTCCCTTGCTTTTCAAACACTGAATAATGCAAAACCCACAAATTGATCAGCAGGATGCCATTCTGCACTTGTAGAAACATGTTTGTGTAGGAAGTTCCTTTCTCTGGAAAACACTTCTTTTTGCCTCCTGCAACCACAAGAGGTACTCACAGACTTCATTTGTTCCAGTAGTTTCAACAGCCCTTACTTCTGCATTGTCTGTTTAAAACATTGTCTCTGATGTATGATGCGTGTAGATGCATTCCAACCCTGAACTGCTCCAGTTCAGACAGATAAGTGGCAGGCAGTACTAACCCAGAGTCACTAAATGGCATAAGGACGCAAGTGTTTTCTTGTAGTTGGTGAGTTGCAGCTTAGTCTGCACTGGGTGAGAGGCAGCGTACTGGCATGACTTGGCATTGATCCCAGGCTGATGAGGTCGTATGTAGGGATCCTCACAGAACTTAACCTAGACCTTGTTCTTCCGAGTCAGTGGTTTAGCTGTAGATTATTTTTGAACTGATCTATATTTTTGCTAGTCTATTTCTTTGAACATCTTTCTATAGGACACTATCTTCAGTCAAGGACCTGGACATATAACTACTATAAAAAAAATAATATATATAATCATAGGGTTTGAGATAGTTCTCCTATAAAAGCTGTTGCAGGATCTCTCTACTCACATGATCTATGGTATTTCTGAGCTTTACTGTGAAGATCTTCATCTGAATTTACTCTTACTCGTTTTCCTAGGTTCCTCAGGCATCTGGGACTTCTACACCTGCTTCCTCTTTACCTCAAGAACTCTCACTACATGCTGAACCAGTAACACAGACGCCAAGACCTGAATCTAGATATCTGCCTAGAAAGAAAAGGCAAGTTCAGTTTTTCAGTACTGAGCCAAGCTAGCACTTCCATACACATGGCCACCCAGGGCCACCCCCCTCTAAAGTAAAATCTTTTCCTCCTTGGCAGCATGACAGTGAAAGATTAATTTTAACAGAAAGATTTCCTGTTTCTTCTGCTATATATGCATATTTTCTTAAACATAGTTATAGGCATTTACACATTCAGCTTCTACTTCATCGTATAAAAATGCGCTCATGCAAAAAGTGAACTAGAATTGTACAAGGTAGTTTCTTCAAGTTTTTAGAATAGAAATGAAATCTGTTTTCTGTTTTAACAGATACGAAAGTTCTACCACAGATTCACTTGAAGAGTCTCTTTCCCACAGAAAAACAGAAAAGCTATCTGAGCAAGAGCTTCACGAAGTGTCAGAAAAACTCTCTCGCAGGTTAAATGAACTAGATTTAGTAAGTGAAATCTATTTTTTGTTGTATCTGAGCAAGCAAGCCTTAGTGATGATAGTGGAGAGAACCAGAATATAAATGTAATACTGATGAAAAGGGTATCTGCAACTAACAGCCGACTATAGACAGTTCTAAATTTTGCATGAACTATGGAACCTGACCCCCCCATGTCTGTCCAACAGATGTTAAAGAGCGCTTTGGGTGGGCACACCAGGGAAGAGCTGACAGATGAAGACAACCTGTCACAGCACAGTGACAGTGTCATGGATTATCGCCGAAGGAAAGCTGAACGAGGTAACGATTCTTATGCCACTTAAGTATTAGTATGAAAAGGAATTTATAAAGAAATCCTTCTTGTGTAAAGCTGATACACTGAACCACTCACAGTTAGTTATCACGTTTTGTATTGTTTGTTCAGTTATATTTTGTCTTAGAACCGAACCTGAGCAACAGTAACAACTACAAATAAGTTCCCATTTAACACTTAAATAGCTATGGTACTAAAAATACAAGGCAAACGCAGGTGCAGTAAAAAACCCATTAAGTGGGGGAGGGACAGAACACATGCTCAGGGATAGGACCGTGATTCTCAGGTGCGGGGCTGTGCACAGTGCACTGCACTGGAGATTCCTCTGTGCTGAACACAGCTGTGTATCTAGTGTCTTACAAACATACTGAGCAGTGTGTGTGTTAGTGGCAATATGGTTAAATAACCACCCTGTATATACAGCAGGCTATCAACCTGTCCTATAGCGTGATCTAATCCACACACACAACATCAGATTGCAAGATGGAGCTGTTTGTGACCCTGGCATATAGACAGTCTCTCACCTTGAGCTACCCTCAGCTGCTTTTTCCTTTCCCATCTTGAATATCTCCTGCCACCTTTGCTATTATATAAACCCCCAAATTCATGATTTGGGGCAGCGATAATTCTAAAGGCAAAGGCTTTAGCTTTTTATGATTTGTGAGAAACTTTTTGACTCTTATGCTATGTGTTTTGGGGGCTTTTTTTCCTTATGTTTGGCAGGAGGGTTTTTTTGTTTCAAGTTAGATACTCAATGAATCACCTTTCCTTACAGACATACCACATTTAAAGTACCCAGGCAGGCCACGATCCCTTTCTCCATCCTCACCCTCATCTCAGCATCAGCTCTTTTCTGAGCTGGAAGATAAGCTTCGCAGTAATGGAACAGGCCAAATAAGGAAAATGCGCAGCCAGTTGCAAAAAGAAAGGGATGAAAGAACAAAAAAAGCAAAGGTAATTTCTAGGTTAGACCTACTGGTCATTCTTACCAAGTTATACTAAAAGCATTAAAACTGAATGCTCTTAACGGGGGCATCTGGCCCACTTCAGTAATTTTTAACTGTTGAATCTGCAGACTGCCGAGGAAAAGACATCAACTCCAAATTTTGCAAAAAGGGAAGTTTAAAGTGGAAGAAGTTACTTTGACCCATACACTGAACAAGCTAATGAGGTGGCCATATGGACTGATTATTTTCTCTGAAAACTCCACTTATTTTTACTTCCTAGATGGTCGCTAAAGCTTATGAAGATGAACTAAGAATTTATGAAGCGAGGGAGAGGCTTAGACTCTCCAGGCTCAGAGAAGTCATCAAGGAAACGGTATGTGATCCACTACAGCGATTATTGGTTGTGTTTTGGTTTTTGTGGGGCCTGTTTCTTTTTAAATTTGTCTAACATGATCTGTCCAGACGCTGGATATGTCTTTTGGATAAAAGAACTCTTTGACTTCCAGTGTCATAGTCACAGCACTGCATGCTCCTAAAGTGGCAAACAGAAGGACAGCTTTTCCTCAGAGGGAAATCCAAGGGACAAGTAGTTTTAGAATTTAATGCCTGCTCTCGAGGGTAACTTAACCACCATGCTTCTCCCATGAAGGGGTAACTTCAAGACACTCAGATTTAAAGAATTAAAGCTGAGTGAGCAAGTAGATAACTTCCATAGACCGGCCTAAACTTCTGCACAGATGGGCACTTCTTCCTGCGCACACATCCCCAACAGCTAGCTTAAATCTGCTTAACATTGTCGTGGTCTTTTTTAACTACTCTAAAAGCTGGGTTTGTGCAGGGATGATTCTCTAATGTAATGAATATGACAAAGAGGTTTTTGCTATTTTCTTCCATGCTAGTGGAAGAGCAAAGAGAGCCTCTGTCATACCAACATCGTACCAATGTGGGCTGCACCAGCCCTTCCCACTACCTGTGCAGCAGCCGTCCGTAGGCTGCGGCAGTAGCGTTAAGTGCTGCAGAAGACCTGACATTATGCAACAGTGAGGTTTAACCTTTATTTGAACCCTGACCTGAATTTGGTAAATCTTGGCCTTCTGGAGAATCCAATTCAATATGTCCAAATTCTCATTCTAAAGTTTTAAAGACATTTAAGTTCTGATATCCAAACTATGTGATCTATCAGTCTTTCCCTTCTCCTACCTGTTCTCCATCTGTTTTACATCTGCTCCTAAGGAACAAGAATACAAAGAAAACATCTTTAAAGAACCTCCAAAAATGCCTCGGCCAGTGAAAGTTTATTCTAGAAAAACCACACCTCGGAATCCCAAATACAGCCAGTGGATTCCAAAACGAGGGACTGTGAAGCCAAAGAAAGCAGCTCCAAGTAAGAACTGCAAAACTATACTTGGTGGAAAACTGGCATCTTTTGAAAGCATGTGTTGAACTCCAAGAATAAAGGCATCAGTCCAACATATACCAGTCAGCTGTAGCATTTTCCCCTTCTTATGACCTCTGTATGTCTGGATTTTTGTTAGGGAAGATAATGCTTTACGTAAATGTAAACCACCAATGCACAATCAAAACTGTGATTTTTGCTACCTCCTTAAAATCCCTTGGATTATTTTCAAAGCTTGTTTCCATTACTGCTACTCCTATGCTTGCTCCACTGTAGTCTGAGCTCAGTGGTTGTTTTTTTCTTGGTGGTTTTTTTTCCCCAAGCATGTATCAGATTTAAAATTGGACCTTTAGCTTGAGTAGGCTCAACAGAGCAGAATCTGTGAATTGCTATCGTCTTCCTTTCCAGACCCTGCCATGGTGGTGTTAACACTGCCACTGGTTTTGCTGAGCAAGTGATGCTCCAGGAACAGCCAACATGCAACTTAGTCTCTGTTTTGGTAAATGGTATTGTGTATGCTTACATGAAATCATGAAATAATGCCTGAGCTATAAAAGCAGTTCTGCAGCAGAAAAAACAAACACACGACAAAAACTTGGGATTACTTTCTCTGCTGCTGTACTGACAGAGTGATGTTATGTCCTGCTGGGTTTAGCTTGACATCATAACAGCAGCGTGGTAGTTGTGTAGTGTTCAACCTGAAATATTTCATAACCTTGGCTGACACTGGCTGGAAGAATTTACCGCTAAATGTATTCTCCAGGAATTTATTACTTACATCTGTCTTTACCTTGTAGTGAAAGTAAGAGACAATGACCTCCTATTCCAGCTACTGGAAGAGTTTCCCCACCTGCATATTTCCCACCAGACTATGAACAAAATGTGGCAGCAGCAGCTTGCACAGACTGAACAACTTCATGCAGCTTCTGGCAGAACTAGACCAAAACTCCAAAATGAAGTGAGCATTCCTATTCTTACCTTCTGAGCAGTCATCAGTTTGTACTGCATGACAAAATAATAATAAAATCATCCTGACTCTGTGTATGCAGCATAGATACAGAGGGACAATGTTTATAGTTCCTACACGCAACTGCTTGTCCTGCAGGATGATGGAAGTAATTAGCTTTTTTTTTTTAACCCCCAGGTTCAACAAGCCCTGAAGAAGCACGAGCTTCTTGTTGCAATTATTAAAAAAGACCAAGAACATAACAAGAGACTGGTATGTTCTTTGAAGGATATTTTTTACATAATACAAAAATTTCATGTTGAACTAGCTAGAATGCATATTCCCTGGTCCATGAAAGTGGCTTTTTACAATTTTATGCCTCTTTAGTAGCTTGGTCTCAAATGCCAGATAATCTGTCTGTTGTATGGCTGCTGGGGTCATGGGAATGGAATATTATTATTACTCTAGAAGTGCAAACAAATTCTAAGAATGTGCAAGAAGGAGAAACTTCAGGCTCCTGGTGTTGCTGTTAAAAACACCAGCTACCATGGCAATGCTGACTCCTTAATTGTGTAGTGCTCTTGATGGCACCAGTTTGCTAAATCAGGGGTGAGTAAAGCTTTAAACCATAAATGCAGTGGAAAATAGGGGTAGAGAGAAGGTCCTTAGTGAAGGACCCTATTTATTTAACAATGATTAACAAAGCTTTGCCTGCAGCAGTATCTGTTGGAAGCTTGGTGGTCTTACAGCTACTGTTCTCCATTTAGCAAGAATTTAAGCAACGTATCTGCCGGCAGAAATGGGCTCAGAATAAAGTGAGAGAGAAACGCCAGCAAATTGCGCGAGCCAGGAAATATTATGAAGATTACCGGGTTCAGCTGCGTGCCAAGATGATGCGGGCTAGGACACGGGAAGAAAGGGTAAGTACAAGATGTCTTGCTCTGCAAGTGTGGAATTCTTTTTTTGTGCTGTCCAGTAGTTCCAATAATGGTACAAGTGGACAGAGAGCAAGTTATGTGAACAGAGCATTGGGGCCAGGATTAAATGGTTGGTCAGTCAAGGCCACAGATGAAAAGGTTCTTTCTTTGGAAACACTGATACAGTTTAGGGCAAACGACTGTAAAACAAGAAAGGAACTTGATGGGGTTAAGAGAAGGAGAGAAAGTGAAGTATCAGTATGGAAAAACAGGGCTGGTAACATGAGAAATTGGGGAAATGGGTTTTCAGAAACAGTAGGATTAAGAAGTTGTTCCTATAGTTACTATCCAAAGAAAACAATCTAAATCTTCATTTAAGGAAACTGATCAAAAAGAGAGCTTTGTTGTCCAGTTATGTTTGTTAAACAAAGTGGACTTTTTGACAGATATGATCTGGACATCAGAGCCAAGGACAGCAAGTGGAGTTATTGCCCTTTCAGAACAGTGTATCTGCTCTTGCACCTTTTAAAATACAAGACTAGAGGTTTAGTGCATAAGCCACTACTAGAGATTTGAGAACTGTTTGCCTCAAGCTGCACCGGAGCTGGGAACTGTTCTCTTGTATAAATGGAAAGCCTGAGCGCAGGGTGGATTTCCTGCAAAGAAGGTCCTGAAGTTCAACAACAGAACGTAGGGGCGGCTGGAAATCACCGTGTGTGTTCAAAGACTCTGGCTTGCATTGTCAGGTTGTCTGAATTATTTTTAAAATGTAATACACACTTGTGTTCTAGCCCCTTTCTTAGTCAAATAGCTGACATGAAAAAATTTATCTATCAGAATTTCCGCTAAATGAATAATACAAATACAGCTCAGCTGCCTCTGCCCCACCATTACATATGGAACTGTGTACTTGGTGATGGGCAATGACCTGTCTTCCTGTGATCACCATTCCATCAGGAGATAAAGCAGCTGAAAAATGTATTATTAAATGTAAATGTATTCTTAAAAGTTTCTGGGAAAGTTTAAGGTTTGCTTTTTTAATTGTTGGTAGATATTTAAACACTTATTCGAAGAAGGCTTAGAAATTCAGAAACAAAGACTGAAGGATCTGAGAGCATATGCTCAAGAGAAGCGTGCTGAGCAAAGGAGAGAGCATCAGAATGAGTTGGAGTCTATGGAGAACTATTACAAAGATCAGGTAAAGCTTAATCTGCATCAAAGACTTAATATTTTTTACACTGCATCTCTTCCCTTTCTTTAATTGGTTCAACTGAAACATGTGTTTAGTTTTCCATGCTAGCAGAGGCTTTGTCTCGAGAACGCCAAGAAATCCAAACCAGAGAGAAAACACAAGCGCAAGTAAGTATTTTGAATTTTGTGTAAATGTCTTTTCTTTGTATGTCCTGTGGCTAATGTCTGTACTTTCTTTAGGCGCTACAGAAAGCCAAGAGAGAACTGAGATCAAGGATGGAAAAGGAAATACAGCAACTGCAAGCAGCAATAATGCAGAATGATGACGACACCTTTTTTCAAGAACTAGAAGCAGAGAGACTAAAATCTAGACTTCAGATGGCTTCCTTTCAGTACAGCAAAAGCCGTCTCTTGTAAGACTTATAGTAAACGTAACTGCAGTTCTCTCTGGCTAAGATGATGAGAATCTTTGAAAGCTGCTGCAGCAGCAAGGTGGTGTGGGGCTGTTTTTCTCTAAAAGCATTGTGACATGGCAGAGGTGCTGCTGCTGGGATCTCTACAGCACTTTTATGATCACCAATAAAGTTTTTAAACTACTTTCTACCTTCTTAGCAGGGCTGAGATGATGTTGAGCTCAAAGGAAGTGGGATGAAGTCAGGGTGCTTTAGTGAAGTCACCTTAGTGCAGCAGTTGAATGCTAAATCTCCTCTACGCCTGTGCTGGTTCTGTTGTTGCTGGCGCTGAAAAGCTGCAGTTACACCATTAGCCAGAAATCAGTGGACTGGAAGGCTCACAAAGGACAAGAAGATCGTTCTTTAAAAGAACATCAGTGGTTCAAGTTTCCTGTGAAAGGACAAGTTAGAGCGTGCCTGCAATAAACCTGGCATAAAAATCAAAACAGCGGAGGGCTACTCGCTCCACACCGTACTGTGTTTGCAGTTTTGGTGTTGCTGGCTTGTTAATGGCAAAGCATCTCAGGTTCTACTTCCTGTGCTACAAACACACTGGAAAAAGTAGTTTTAAATAGAAAACAATGAAAATTGCAATTTTTAAGTAGTTTATCTTGGTAATGTGGATGAACTAAACTGAATTTTTAAACAGGCTCTAGTAGAAGAGTTCTTGCTTAAAATTGCATAAACATACAGGAATCAATTGCCCTGTATATACAATATTTAAAGCTTGCCCTGAGATGGTGCCTCTTATGGAACTAACACCACTCTCAGTGAGTTAAGACTCATGCAGTGCGAAGAAAGAAAAAAAAATTAAAAAAAATAAACAGAAAAAAAAGCCCCCAGCAGCTGGAGATGCCTCCTCTACAGATTAAACACAACAGCTGGCAGTTAGAGCATGATCTACTTCACTGAACAAAACCCAAAAAACACAACAAAAAACCTCCACAAAACAGAAAACCACACCCTGACTTAAACCATTATCCAGGGACTTGCTCTAAGCCAGGCTAATTGACAGTCTTTATCCAAGGGACAATATTTACCAGCTCAGTTGTGCAAATTTAACAAGTATTTACCAGCTTTGTTTACCTTTTTTCCTGCCTTAAGGAAGATGGTTTAAGGTTTGCTGAATTTCGAGAGGAGACATCCGTTCACCAGTTTTGAGACAGATGCACACCGTGACACTAAAGCCCAAAGTCAGACCCTGGTTGACTGAACATTCAGCACAATGCTGAGTGGTGTAGGTAACAGACACCAAGTTTTAAATATTTTCTCCTGAAACAAAGTTGAGTTACTTAAAAATGACATTGTTACTTTTTAAAGTAAATATTTAATTAAGAAAAACTTAAAACTTTTAAAACCATTGATGCTGTGACAGTGCAAACAGCATACAATTTATTGCTCAACTTCTGCATGGGTACATACATTAAGTACTTAAAAACCATTTTATACAGATTTTTTTTTTTTTGTTAAAGCTCATGTAACAGCTGGGTGAAAATACAATGATACCAATGCTAAAACACACTGTAATAAATACAATGGCAATGATAAACTAAGAACTGTCAGTTTGTGGAGGAGTAATTACACTTGTATAAACTAATTACAACTACAGACAAAAGCTCTGAGGATGTGGTAGAGCCAGAAACCTACTACATAGTGTAAAGTACAACCAATGGCACCTGTTAACTAAATGGTGCTGTTTAAAATCTGAAGCAGTTGGAGCATGCTACATTAAGCTGTATGATGCATACTTATGGTACAGAAGCAAAGCTTTTACTTCCATCAATGCAGCCAGTTTAAACGCACCAGAAGTTCAATACAGATGTAGTGTTGTAGAACGAGAATTTAAAAACGGCTTGTGTGCTCTGGACTTTAGTACAACACAAAAATTTGGTACAAATAAATCAGTTTAGGGAAACTGAAACTATGTGCAAAAAAAAAAATTAGAATACATACTGTACAAAGCACCATTACAAAACTCTTTACACCGAGAAATTAAATCCTCTGAAACTCAACTGTGTACTGTATATTTGAAATCTACAAAAGTCACTGTTCATAATTAAACATTCATCATGAAAAGCAACAGCATAAAACCATGATGTGACATCTCTCTAAAACAACTAAAGACTGGATAAAGTAAAACTCAGTAAGAGGGACACACTGAAATAAATATTCACATTAATCATGGGGTGAAAGTCCAAGGTTAAAATGCAACATTAGGCTTAGCACCTTTTTGAGGGGAAAGTAGCTGACATGATCTTGAAACAAAATTTTGCAAAGGAATCAACGCTTGAACATTTTCAGATAACCACCTGACTAGGCGATGAGGTGCTTTAAAGCTCTCAGTCATTGTGAAGGTAGGAAAGGCACTCAAAATACTTGGTATATTCATCCTCATCTGTCAGCTATGGAAAGTCGAATGTAGATTTATCTAGTTTTGCCTATAATATATTAAATTTACAATATTTATCTGTGGCCTTTAAAAAAAAAATTCTCTATGCCATACCAAAATGTTTGGTAACAGACGTACTGCTAAGGCTGCTGTGAAAACAGATGGTGCTTATCAGCTGCTCTAGAGCCTGTATTCTGCAGAGCTCATCTCCTCCCTCCTCCAAAATGCTTTTATGACGTAAGGGTGGCTGTAACTGTGTGTTCAATAAATCTACCAGCCTAAGTGGGCTGAGAGCGAGAAGGTTCCTGGGAGGTGGGTGCAGATGGTGTGGTCAGGAGACACTACAGAGACGGTCTCGCAGGAGGGGAGCTGCCTGGTGCGAAGGGAACAGCAGCACACCTTCCCCCTTCAATCACCCAACAGAGTCCTGACCTCTCCCCAGGGCTGGAGCAAATGGGATTTTACACTTTCCATGTTTCACGACCAGGGAGGCTGCAGCCACAGCCTGAGCAAGAGCAGGGGGGAGGAAAAAAAATTCACTTACACATTCCTGTGAACAGTGGTCAGAAGAACCTGTCTGTACATAGCAATTCACACCATACCTCAAAACTTGCAGGGGTGAGGAGAGGTTTTGGGAGTGTCTAAAGCAGTGGTCCCAACCACAGGCAGCAGTACTGAATTAAGACACACGCTGGGCAACAACCTACTTTGCTCTCTCCCAGGAAACCCAGACAAGCCGTGAATCAGGGATCCCGACTGTAGCTGGAGAGGCACCAGCCATTTGATGCGAGTGCAATAGTCCCTTGAAATGAAGGAAAAAAGGGTCTGACACATTTCAAACCTGGCTGTCAAAGCACGTTTCTTGGCTTTATGTTTCCATCCCTAAGTAGCCTCCTCTCTGCAGCCAGCCCAGAATGGGAAGCAAGTCTCTTAGAACAAACCTTCCAGCAACAGCTGTACAAAAAAAATAATCAAACGAACATGTGGATTTGGCTCACCAGCTTCTTACCACAATTCTACAAAAGTAGTCCATTGCCCACTATTCTAATACACAACATCCAGTAGTAGTTTACTCACTGTGGCAGTCAGATTTGGCAGAACAAAACTGAGTTCAAGCTCCACGGAGCAGACAGAAGATTAGCCAGCTCACTGTGGGACTTACACTGCAAAAATGGAACAGCTGCTTACGTCCCATTCTTTTAGCATTTTCCATACCCTTGACTTTCTTCTCATTGGCAGTGTAAAAATAGTGCAGATTTGATGATTAATTGTAACCCAAGTTAAAAAACACAACACTGATTGGAAAAAAAAAAAAAAAAGCTACCTATTCCAAATGTTCTCAGCGCTGAGAGGAGAATGCCACCGTCTCTTGAGCAGAGTGATTTATCTACACACCACGAGCAGATCACACATAACTGAGAATCTCCAAACTAACGTCAAAGTTCTGTTCCCTCTACTGGTAGTGCATTTTATTCCCCTTTGAAGAGATCAACCCATGTTATAATTCATATATATACTTACTTCCATCCCTACAATCAATAAATTATGTGCTTTTAAAACCTCATTTTCGAAGCACATTACACATATTTCAGTTAATACACCATTTTTCCTTAGCTGTAACTTAAACCCACATGTCATGAGCAGCTAGATAAAGATTACAACATGTTTTACCTGATAAATCTTTAGCATCAACAAATACACAATGTGATTTGGCTGCATTCAAACAAACTTTGGTTGACTGGACAGGATGGGTTCTGAAATGAACTGCTGACAGGCTTGTGCTGTCAAATATCACCTCATCAGCATTGCTTAAAAAGTTGAAAAATGCAGTGTTTAAAGTCAAAAGCAACAAAAAATACTCTTGACAGACTTGTTATAAAAAAATGCTGTTTTAAAAAAATCAAAACACCTACTGTTCATTAAAAAAGGTCTATTCCACGTGTTCACACAAGTACTGTACCAAATACAGTATGTGTCACTCGCACTAAAAATTTTGTTTCAGGAATCTGACAAGTGATATAAATAGAACCCCAAAACATTGTATTTGTAATTCATGCTTGAAAAATATAAAAAAGTCCCCTGTGGTAACATTTAAGTTGAATTTACATTGCAGAATATACTGTTTTACTATAAGAAAATGCAGTTAACATGTAAGTGGCTTTAATTAAAAAGATTAATGATTCTTTCAGCCAATTTTATGCAAAGTTAGAATAATCCAAAATATTTTTTCCAAAAATAGCAGGTATAGATGCTGTTCAGTATCATACATTTAAAACAGGCTGAAATGTGACTTGTACCGACTGCTGAAGTTGTGTCTTGGTATCTGAGAATAGAAATCAGGTAGGCAAATATAATAGGTTACCTTTTACAAAAATAGTAGTAGTCTTTAAGTATAGAATACTGCTTAACTGTTGAAATGTAGGAAAAGTCAGCATTCTGTATGTTCAAGATATTAGTTTTTAATAGCAGCTGAATGATCCCATGGCAGAACCACAGAACCTATTTTCTTGAAAAAAAAAAAAAAAAAATTCCAAAGTTGTCCTTTCCCTCCCAGTGTCCTAGTGTAGAAAAGGGAAAGTTTCCTGTATTTCAAGCATTTCTTGAGTCTTGGCTGAGGGAAGGGCTTTCTGGCTGACAGGAGTATAAATAGAGTCTCAGGTAAGCCTGTGAAGGGTCATTCCACAGCAAACCCACATGTTTCTTCAATGGCAGTTAGCAGCTTCTCGTATAGCTTCTCGTAGCTTTCGTAAGGAGGA